AGTCATCTTCCCTGTGATGCTGCATAATGTATTTTGCTTGAGAGTCAAAAGCCATAAAGGTCTGAGAACTGCCAAATACCTGAAAGTTATTTGGAGAGCAACATTGGCATGTAGTTTTGACTGCTTGTAGGTATACTTGAAATTTGTGGGCTATATCCAGCTGGGAGTCTTCTTTGGTTAATTTTTTAATTAAAAGGGCTGACAGTAGTTTTTGACAGGAAGATTTCACTGATCTGGGAGGAATAAAACAATAGAAAGTAATGTGTTGCTAAACAAGACACACTTGATTGCTATTCCATTTTCTGGTCACTATTAGTAGAATGGAGACCATGAACTTGGGTTACTTACATTCTTGATGGGTGCCATTTTTGATCTCTTCTTCTGTTTTTGTTTCGTGTATTCTGTAGATTCAGATTTCATCCTTATAGAGTAGGAATCTTCTAGAAATCTTGGCTGTTCTGAGGATAAACCATTCTGTATAGCACGAATATGCACTTTCCTTCTGACGGCATGCAAGAAAGCTTCCTCTTCAGGGCAACACATTTTTTATTATGCCCACCTTTGTTTCATTTTTTTTTTAAGTGATTGAATTCAGATTCATATATACAGGATGTACTCTTTCCATTTACTCAGTGAAGGATATTTTCCTCTTATTTGATAGGAGGGACATAACCTGCAAGGCATATATTTAGTTATAACGTTTTCAGCGCAAAGCTGTAAAGTTCAAAGAAACTTTTGTGCCCTAAATAAAAAGACCAAGAAAGCAACACAATATGGAAAAGGAAAGCTAACAATCACTATTAAGAAAAAAGAAGAAAAAAATGGAAAGCAACCTTACATTGTAATAAACATCTCTAAATCAGTTGTTGTTTTTTAATTTTATTCCAGGATAGATATGTCTGGTTAAGGACAAAGTGTGGAGAGAATAGAAATGACAGCAGCTTTCAGACACTTGCATGAAATGTTATTTTCTTTGGATATTCAGAAAGGAAGAAAAAAATACAGGAAACGTAAATCAGAATGAAATTTTCAAAATGAAGTTTTGGAGGGAAATGAAAGAAAAACTAATGTGAATGAAAGATGGAAGAGTTAATTCAGATAGGCAGCTGAATGCAAATTGAGTCCTTAGAAAAGATGGATATCATAATATTTATTTTCAGAAACTGACACACAAAATAAATGTATAAGTAAAAACGATTGAGTTTTGCAGCGCTGCTTTGAAGATGAAATTTCCCTGGTAATGGAATTAATTTTGTATTTGGAAAATAAGGCTGCATGGCCTATGTGCTTTCTTGACTGATCCTCAATGCAATTTTATTTTTTTTTAAATGGACCTCCTTTGATATATGGAAAAAAGATTGACTTAAGAAATGAGAAAAAGCTTTGGATGAGTGTGAGAACTTTTATCCAACTCTATTTAATTTCTTATAGACATCTTTGTAGCTGCAGAGTTCTCACTGAGAGGGAACTTTCCTGCAGCAGATGAGAGAATCAAGTGTATCTCCATGGGACCAGGCATTAAGACCTGCAAAATCCTGCTGAACATAATATGCTACAGTAGCTGCTGCTTCAACTGTGGAAGCAAACAGTTTAAATCTAGGTGAAAAGAGGCAGAAATTTCTTCGGTAATTACAACCTTCTGTTGCCATCCCTTTCTCATGGGTATGTGCAATCAGAATATGCTCTGCATGCAGAAGTCTCATGTCTGCCTGTTTTGGTTAAATAGCTTGCAAGTTTTGAAATGCTAAGAGCAGTGTAAACTTTGTGAATGGTGCATAGGAAACTATGGTTTATGGACAGTTTAAAATACTGCTCAACTATAAAACTCTGCAGACTTATTTAACTTCTTTTGCTGTACTGTACTCTGCTTATACAACCCCGTTCAACCGCTCTCAAATATTAGCTGATCTGTTATGTTTGCTCATTATTTTTTAGTAAAGAGAAGTTAGAGTTTGATGGTCTTATTAGGAGTTCTCTTGGTTTGAGTGACACTCATATAGTTGTGCTTATTTTTATTTTTCTCCCGTTCTTCGCCCCCAAGACTCCTCATTCTACTTTGCTTTCATATTTTTATTTTTGTTTCTAGTTTCAAAATTGCTGAAAGTTTTTCCTGAAGGGATTTAGAAATATAGGTTGTTTCTAGGCAACACACATTTCTTAAGGCTTTGGCAGTGGGACAGTTTCCACTGTATGGTATTGCATCAGAGCTGGATTTCTTTTATAGGGCAGAGTTGGGGGAATGGAGAAAGTATTTTGAATGGTTTTACATCTAGAGTGCGTAAAATAAATGTAGAAGATTATACTAGAAAATGTTGCTTTACTTACCTGTGTAGTTTCCAAATTGATTGAGTGTGCATAGAAATAGGTTGCCAAATCTTAAAACAATCCCTGTTATTGATGCAGTTGGGAAGCCTGACTTCATATCTTACTTTGTAGTAGTTTCGAGTATTGTGGTAGGAAAGGAATAGCTGGTACTGCTCTCTCTGCTCAGCCCCTTTTCCTTCTCACGCAACACTGGAACCAGTACTGCAATGCTTGCAGGCAGGAAGAGTGTTGTGCTATTGTATCACAGTGTGAGTTGGGTTGGGTGCATCCTGGGAAAGAGGGACAGTGTGATCTCGTTAGTGACTTTGGGTTAGTGACTTTCAAAAGCATCCTCCTGCTCACCTGATTCTCCTTGAAACTTAAGGAAATAAGCTTCCCACGTACTGAGATGCTGAAAGTCTGTGTGAAGTAAGCTTATGCTCTTTGTTGATCCATTTGTGTTTGTGGAGCTTTCTGAAGTGTGAAATGCTATTTAGTACGTTTAGTACTATTTAACTGAAATACTGCAGTTTTGTAAGTTAATCAAGCAGTATTAAACTTCGGGATAGAAATTAAATACTGCTTTTCTAGAAAAAAAGTGCATATGGTAACTTTTTGAATCTGGCCTTTTGAAAGGATGCCAGGAGTGTGTAGCTGGAATGTTTAAAATCCTAAATTGATGGAGTGTTAGTGTGTTTCCTAGCAGGTTCTTTCCTTTGATCTGCACATGTGTATTGTACAAAACAAATACTACCTGGCTTACTCAGCACCATGACTGGATTTTTAAGATGATATTTATTTAATTATTTTTATGTGCAATATAGGGTTGTCTTGTTGTTGTTGTTTTTAATATTACTTTTACATACCTTATTTATATGTATTCTTTCCTTCTTTCTTTTCCCTCCATTGCTGTAGTATGTAACACCATTGTTAGGAGATATCCCTAACAGTAGTTGGAATAGTGCATGAAGAATAGTAGTCTAAGGCATTACTTTCTTCTGTGGCCACTGTGGTAAGAATTCATTTCTGACTATCTAAAGTAGTAGAACTCTTGTAGGTGAAGAATACCAAGAGAACAAAATTAATATTGAGAGGAGATATATTTTATTAAATCAATTACCAAAATTTTTTATTATAAGTGTTTTCCATAAGGTGTTTATAATGCAAACACTGGATCTGGTTTCTTTTAGGACTTTTAATATTTTTCACTATTTCTTATTCTGAAATATGAAGCCAGTTGTGAATAATTGTCTTATTGGGTCGAGGCAATTGATGACAAATACACATTACTTTTGTGAGCTGATTTTGAGTTATGGCATCTCTTCTATAGTGAGAGTGGAGGACCAGAGTTCTCCACTCATTTGTTAGAGACCAACAGAAAAGTAGAAGAGCTTGTACCAGTTTGCCAATATCCTGCATAATGTATTAGAATCAGAAAATAAATGTTTGTAATATGGTCTCTGTTTATTCCTGCTTTTATATCATAACATAATGGTTTATCAAATTAAAATAGCTTTTTTTGCAGATTCCCTTTATCACAAAAACTTCATGTTCTTGTCCTATCTGTGTGCACAATAGAATGACAAAAGATTTAACAGTGCTCAAGATTGTCTATCTTGAGAAGATTTGAATTTAGAAACATTTAGAGGAATTGGAACTAGAGGATATTTGTTATGTTTGACATTCAGATTAAACTGGCATTGTTAAAGACAACGTATATGATAAAATCCATGGAATGGTTTGTATTGAGGGAGACCACAAAGATCATCTAGTTGCAACCCCTGTGTCGCCAGAAGGGTTGCCAGCTACTAAATCAGGCACTAGATCAGGTTGTCCAGGGCCCCATGTATCCTGGTCTTGTTCCCCTCCAGGACTGGAACATCCGCAGCCTCTCCAGGCAGTCTGTTCTAGCACCTCACCACTCTCTCTGTGAAAAGTTTCACCTGGACACGTAATACAAATCTCCCCTCTTTTAATTTCAAACCATCCCCCTTTTCCCTAGTGTTCTCTATCTGTGTAAAAAGTTGATATCCCTGGACGTGCTCAAGTCCAGGTTGGCTGGGGCCCTCTGCAACTTGATGGATAACAACCATGTCCATGGCAGGACATGGGAACTGAATGGGCTTTAAGGTACTTTCCAACCCAAACCATTATGTAATTCTTTAATTTTCTTGATTACAATGTTAATGTCTCTTGCTACAGTAGACAATTTCTAAATAAGAAAGTGAAATATTTATTGTTACAATATAAATATTCTTTTGATTTTGGTACAGTCCAGCACTATAAATGTATCTTTCTTCTTGAGCTGCTGAACAATCATTTTAACTGGCAATTTTATGTAGGAAGAGTCTAAACAAAAATTTAGTTTTGTTTACTAAGAGCCAGTTTGTATCTGGTGTGACTCTTAGGTAGTAAGGCTTTTTAAAGGAGGATTTGTGTAACATATCATCACTTGTAAAGATGGTGTTTGTAACTGTTGCATGTGGAATTTCTTCAATGCCTTAGAAGGGATGAGGTCTGAGAAACGAATTCCTAAATATCAGTATATTGGTTTTGTGTGTCCGTCCAATTCCTCATGTCAGAAATCCTTGAAGATGGCTCTACCCTTTCTATTTAAGTCATTAAAGTTTATCAATGGTTTGTATACAATAGAACTATTTTAATCACCCAATATTGCCTTGTGTTTTTCTATGCAGTGTTGACAATTTTGGACTTGGTCTTCTGCTTCAGACTAAGCAGATAAAACGCATGGTATCATCATATGTTGGAGAGAATGCTGAATTTGAACGCCAGTATTTATCTGGTGAGCTTGAAGTTGAACTTACACCTCAGGTAAGTAGTCTATCCAGAGCTGTGGTATGTTTTCATTGAAAAAACGATTAGAATGTTCCTTAACTGCTTTTTAAAATTGATGTGCAATCTTAATGTTTTCTCTGTAAAAACAGGTGGAATTTGCTGTTTTAGGATCGTTAAGTTATAGAGTGTAACTGTGAGATTAAGAACTGATCAGTTAAATTTTGTGATTTATGGCATGGTATGCCTTACATTCATCTGAAGTAAATATATATACTTATCTATGCTTTAGCACAATGTTTATTTTTCATAAGACCTTTTGGATGGTAGATAAACAGGTGAAATCTGTCTGCTGTGGCTCATACAGGGGAGCAAAGATAGAAAATCCCTGTATAACCAAGTGATGGTAGCTTTGCGTGCTTTTGGGGAAAGTGTTTGAGCAGTATCTGCCATCTAGTGGGTAGGATTTGAAAGAACAGACTTCAAATTCAGAATACCTTAAGTTTTTTGTGCTTGTTAGTTAAATCTGTGTTAAATCTCAGTATGATCCAATATTTACAACTTCACTTTATAGCACCATAGCTTTAAGTCATGGATGTCCAAACTTTCAGCTTTCCTGGGCCACACTGAGTGAACAGGAATTGTTTTGCGCCACGTACACAAGGGCTGCTCCAAAGTAATGCCTCCTGTGTTTCCATGGAACTATAACTAATGCAAAGAGCATAACAACAATATTTGATAGAGCAAAATCTCAACTACAAAACACTATTTTTCAACAGTCACCACCATTAGCTCTGCATTTTCAGCAGCAGTAAGCTAGAGCCTGCATGCTTTGCAACTCCGTGCATTCCATTTGAAAATTCTTATGTAATGTGGCTATGTCAACTGAAAATGGAGTTGCAAATAAAAAAATCTTGAAACCTGTTCTCAAGTTCCTTGATCAAAACGGGAAGCACGGCTATGTATTTTCTGCTGTTCACAGCACTGTGTTCGGCCAATGAATCAAAACACACAGCTCTTTGGTGTGAGTTGAGCACCCTCCCTGCACCCTGGTGCAGTTCAGACAGCACTCATTACGCACTGATGTTTGTCTGTTGCAGAGTGGTGCGAGCGATCGGGCTGCTCAGTGGTGGGGGCAGATGATGGCACAGAGCAGGGGCCGGGCCACAGTGCCAGCTGGGGTGGGCTGCATGTGGACCACAGCTTGAACATGCCTGCTTCTAGTGTTTTAGCACTGCCAAGGTACTTGCATAGCTAGCATACAATACAGTCTAAAATTGTGAGTATCAGTCATATTCTGTTTAGATCTAATTCTGCAGCATGTTAGTGTGAAGCAAAGCCTTTGAACTTTAAACAGTTATTCATTTAAACCATTGGGAAGAGCAACAGTAGTAAAGTTTTGTGAAGAAGTCCTTGGCCTACATTTCTTTGGTCTGTCTCTAAGAAGCACAGGGGCGGACAGGAAATCTCTATACTCTGTCAGCTGGCATGGAAATAAGCAGGTACTTCTCACTTTTCAGAAGTCACAGTTTTCACCACTGTGTTACCTCAGAATTAATCTTTTCCATCCTCCTACTTCATGTTTGGTAATTCCATCCAAAAGATCTTGTACTGCTTAGGCTTGTGATTTGCTTTGTGGAATGCACTTAAGAGCTGAGTAGATCCTGAATGACAGTTGTAGGTCTGCAGTCCACATTGGTGAACAGTGAATGTCAGTAATGTGTTAAGAGATGCAGGGATTTTATATGTTCTTGTTAAGATAAAATAGCCTTTTGGAAAATGCTGTTTGGATTTTTTTATGACTTCAGATAAAACTGAAGAGCACTATGTCCTTGTTTTGCAGTGAGGGAGAGGTCATGGTGAGATCTAGAAATGCCAGGGCTGCTTGAATCTCAGAGCTCAGTATCATTGCATGGTTTATAACTGTCTTTTTTTTTTTCTGTCCTCGCTTTGCAACCTACAAGAATTCACTGTGTTTCTTCCAGAAATTACTGAGGAAAACACAACCCATGTTTTGGAAGTGGTCATGCTTGATAATTGACTGTGATTGGCCTTTTCTTGCTTCAAGTCCAGAAAAACATATTTGGGAAAGGACATCAGTGAAAAGCAGGCACATACAACTTTGACCATCAGTCTGCAATGAATGCTAACAAAGAATTTGAGTTGTTAGTATCTATGTAGTGGATGAATATAGAATACAGTACAGATGGGGCATTCAAATATATTCAAATCAAATAGTTCTATCAAGTTTTGGGCATTCTTTGCAGATGATATCCAGACCACTTTTCCTTTTTCAGTCTATTGAGTGTGACTCTTTCAACTTGAAAAAAGGAACTTGTTTAATTATCCAACACCTTAAGAAGAAGTTAACATATTGAACTGATGATAAAAGTTAAAAATTCTTACCATCCATGTAGGAAAAAGAGCTCTACACTCTTCTAAATAAGAGTGATGGACTGGGAAAAAAGCTAAAGGAGAGGAGTTGCATAATCCTGGTAGTTGATATTGAGTTGAGTTACAGTGTGCTCTTGAACGTTTGGTGACCAGAAGTAAAACATTTATTGCCATATGCAGTACCAGTTCCACAAAGGAGAGCTAAAGTGGGAAGAAGTAGTGCATGTGGTGGTCTGCGGAGTACAAGGTCAAAGTTACAAATAACATAATATATAAGTAATTCCAATCAAATAATTCACCTGAGTTCGATCTGTTATTTCTAAATGACTAGGTCTTCAATGTGTTTTTTCCACAGGGTACACTTGCTGAACGTATTAGAGCAGGAGGAGCAGGAATTCCAGCATTTTACACCAGTACAGGTTATGGGACACTGGTGCAGGAAGGGGGGGCACCTATCAAATACAATTCAGATGGCACCATTGCTATTGCTAGCCAACCAAGAGAGGTAAGATGTCAATCTGTTTCTAGCAATCTGCTTTTGAAAATGAATTTCTTACAGAATTCCAAGATAAATGGCTGTTTAAGTTTTTTTTCTGGCCAAGTTTAACTTTAGTATGTTGGATTAATGGTGTGGCTTGGTACTAGTTACATTAATTGTCCTCCTTCTGCTCATTCCTGTCCCCTGCAGTGTATCACAGTTCTTGGAGCATTGAGTGACTTAACATCAAGAAACTGACTCAGGTGAAAACATTTCTTGATTCACTTTACCCAATTCTCTGGCCATACCTGCAGCTGTACCCAAAGCCTCAGCGTTAGAAGAGACTGGGCATTTTCTTGTTAAACCACAAAAAGCTCAGTTGATGCATCCAGGAAACGTTCGACAAAATGAAATGCTATTTAGTGTGAGTGTTCAAAATTACAAAGATATCTCTGTGATCTCCAACAGAGAAACATGAACTTGAAATTAGGTGGAAATTTTGAAGAAGGAAATAGCTTTCAGGTACTATGACTGTGTTTGAAGAAATGAGGATGAGGTTAGCGCTCTGAGTTCTCATTATGCTGCAACAGGTGTAATCTCTTACTCAAGAACATCTTACGGGTAAAGATAATGTTTGTTTTTGTCATAGAATCATAGAACGGCCTAGAGCGAAAAGGACCACAAAGATCATTTCATTTAAACCCCTCTGCTATGGGCAGGGTTGCCAGCCACCAGACCAGGCTGCCCAGAGCCACATCCAGCCTGGCCTTGAATGCCTCCAGGGATGGGGCATCCACAGCCTCCTTAGGCAACCTGTTCCAGTGCCTCACCACCCTCTGTGTGAAAAACTTCCTCTAATATCTAACCTAAACTTCCCCTGTCTTAGTTTAAAACCATTCCCCCTGGTCCTGTCGCTATCAACCCATTTGAACAGTCGTTTCCCCTCCTCTTTATACGCTCCCTTGAAGTACTGGAAGGCCACCATGAGTTCTCCCTGGAGCCTTCTCTTCTCCAAGCTAAACAAGATCAGTTCCCTCAACCTTTCCCCGCGGAAGAGCTGCTCCAGCCCTCTGATCATCTTAGTGGCCCTCCTCTGGACTTGTTCCAAGAGCTCCACGTCCTTCTGTATTGGGGGCCCTGAATGCAGTACTGCAGATGGGGCCTCACAAGAGCTGAGTAGAGGGCAACAATCACCTCCCTCTCCCTGCTGGCCACTCCTCTTTCAATGCAGCCCAGAACACAGTTGGCCTTCCGGGCTGCAAGCGCACACTGCAGTCTCATGTCCAACATCTCATCCACCAGGACCCCCAAGTCCTTCTCCACAGGGCTGCTCTCAAGGGGCTCTTCACCCAGTTTGTACAAATACCTGGGATTGCCTCAGCCCAAGTGCAGCACCCTGCACTTGGCCTTGATGAACCTCATTAGGTTCACATGGGTGCACATAGCCATCCTGTCTAGGTCCCTTTGGATGGCATTGATTTATGCACTGATATTTTCATTATTGAATCATTACAATAGTTGTTTTTCCTTGGATTTCTTATTATGGAATTATGATATTTTCCTATTTGAAGGAATCTTGTTTGTTGAAATACCTTATGGTTTTGATAAGAATTTTTTTTACCTTTAATATTTGTTAAGAATACTTCTTGTTCTTCTCAGTCTTTTGCAAAGCCAGTAACATCTCTTATGTGACTTGACTGAATCAGTGTAAAGTGCAAATAACATTTCATAAATCTCAAATCTGCCTCCACAGGCCCACAAAACTAACTTTTGATATGCTTTTACCAGATTTTCTCCCCTCTGATAAGTATTAAATAATGCTACAGCAGTACTGTGTATACTCTAACATTCTGTATTGTTTAAATAAATGCTGCTCAGTGTTTCTGTGTATGATTTGTGTCTTGTCTACTCGATGGCAGCAATCACCAAATATTCACTGCATCTTTTCTAGGACGATAAATTGTTGTTTTCTTTCTTCTTGCTGTTGTTCTTTCATTTCTGCTATGATTCAATGCTATACCTAATAATGGAAATGCCTAATGAAGAGATTAGATATTGATTTTCCTGGGTATATCTGTGCTGTTTGGAACTGAGGTCTTGAATGTGAATCCAGTAGATTTAAGTAGCTCTCATTCAAAGCCAGATGAAGAAGAACAACGTTCTTGAAGAAGCCACATTGTGGCTGGAGGATCCTCAGTAGTTTCAGGCTCTTAACAGAGAACTTGTGAGGGGAAAGACAGTTCTTCTAACTTGTCTTTGGTAGATTGAACTCCCTCCATGGAAGTATGACCATGTCCTATTCTAATTGTTTAGCAAAGTCTTGTTGGACATCAGTAAACTAATGGATGCAAAAATGAGCTTACCCCTGTTGAATTTTCTAATTTGAATTCAATTCTGATTCTTTTCTCTAAAGTGGTTCAGTTCTGAGCTTCTCTTGTGAATGTGAAGAAAATGTAATTATGTTCAAAATAATCTAGTGATGTCTGCTAGAATACTATTTTCTTAGACTTAGTTTTCTATGTGGGATATAATTCATGCGATATTTTGCTTCCCAACCCCAATTGTTATGAGAGATTGTGTGTCTCTGGTCGCTAGTCAGTCAGGAGAGTTTTTGTCTTGGAAAGACAAAATTTTGTATTTATTCTTGAAAAATACATTTTGTTTTACAAAGCTGCTAGCATAGTACCTGTTCATCTGTTACACATTCTGACTTTCTGCACATTATTGTTACAAGTATTGATCATAAAGATAGTGAGAACCAAATGAAATTCAGCCTGTCAGATGATCTGAATCGTGTACTCAGAATCAAATTTTCTTTATTTAGATTCGAGGCTTCTGCTGATGGGCAGTGATTACAAAGCTTTTCAATACTTCTGCTTTAGCAATTTGTTTTTTAATTATTTGCAAAGAGCATGTCTAATTCCAGTTGATGGAGTGGTGGAATATGTATTTTATTCTGTTCTGTGTATGGTTCTTCTGGTATTTTGCTAAACAGACACCTTAGGATGAACCAGAGGTTTACTACCTCTTGGTGCTTTTCTGTGGTTATACACTTGATCTCCATTTATTCAGATAGAATTGCATTAAATAAAATAGTTTGTAAAATTATCCCTGCAAAATAAATACATGAGAGATCTATTTGAAGAAATCTACATCTCAATATTGTACTTTTTTTCTGTAGGTGCGAGAGTTTGATGGTCGTCACTTTATTCTGGAAAAGTCCATTACAGGAGATTTTGCTCTCGTGAAGGCATGGAAGGCTGATCGTGCAGGAAACATCATTTTCAGGTATGACTTGTTTATTAGTTGGAAAACCTTTTTTTGATTGTTGAGATAACAAAAGATAAGAAGCCTTGTCTCATATGATGCCAAAATAATGTCTTACTGATTTCAATTTCATTCATGTTGTCTTTCCTTACTGTCAAATTGTACTGCTATTAAAAAAAACTTATTCTGATGATGTCTGAGAATTCAAATGCAGTATTAAATAAAACATTAGTAGTTATAACTTTGGTCTGCTATTCCATATTCATAATGTTGATTGTGGAGAAAGGTAGTGATGTTGTTTCTTTCCATTTTTCTGTTAATTTGGGCCACTTTTATTGTGCAGCTGAAGGCTGATACAAGAGGTGTAGGATCATGTATATCAGAACAGAAGGAAGCTAAGTCAGTTTTCTGACCAGATAGTGTTGTGAATGCTTGATTCTGTCCTCAGATAAGTGCATTTTGAGTTTGTTTGTTCTCAGTTGTCCAGGGGGTGACATCATATGAATTTAAACATCTTTTTAGTGAAGAACAAAGGCACTACACTAGAGATAACGTAATTTATTTGGGCTGTTACACTTGTCCTCTGTTTTTTCCTGAACTGTAGCAAGAGAGATTTGCATATGTTTAATGCCTGGTTTTTATTCATTTGTTTTATGGCTCTCAGATGATTAGGTAAGTGTTACAGCAATTAGTTGCAGTTTACTACATGAAGGTGCTGAATAATGCAGTTTTTTGTTGTATATATTGAGAGCAACAAGGAGTAAGTGAAAAAAAAATCTGTATGAAAGATAGGGGTTAGAGTACTGTTTTGTAGATGTATTCAAGTGTATACATACACATGTATTTACAGAACTGCATTTTTTCTATACATTATATAGTTAATATAATATTAAAATACTTGGAAAATGAAGAGAGAGCTTAATTGACCTAACTCTTAACACAGAATCATAGAATGGGTCGGCTTGGAAGGGACCACAAAGATTATGTAGTTCAGCCCCACTGCTGTGGACATGGTTGCTGACTGCTAGATCAAGCATTAGATCAGATTCCCCAGGGCCCCATCCAGCCTGGCCTTGAACAGTTCCAAGGATGGGGTATCTGCAGCCTCTCCTGGCAGCCTGTTCCAGCACCTCACCACTCTCTCTGTGAAAAATTTCACCTGACATCTAATATATCTCCTCTTTATAATTTGAAATCATTACCCCTTCCCTATAATTCTCTATGCATGTAAATAGTTGATTTCCCTCCTGTTTATATACTGGAAGGCTCCAATGAAGTCTCCCTGCAACCTTCTCCTCTCCAAGCTGAACAAGCCCAGCTCCCTCATTCTTTCCCCACATGAAAGGTGCTCCAGCCCACTGGTTATCATTTTGGCCCTCCTCTGGACCTTCTCTGAAAGCTCTCTATCTTTCTTATGCTGTGGGCCCCAGGTCTGGGCGCTGTACTCCAGATGATGCATCAGAAAGGCATAGCAGAGGGGGACAATCACCTCCTTTTCCATGCTGGCTGCCCCTCTTTTGATCCAACCCATGATACACTTGGTCTTTCAGGCTTCAAGTGCACACTGCTGACTCATGACCACCTTTTTTGTCTACCAAGATCTCCTATTCCTTCTTTACGGCATTGCTGTCTAGTTCCATGTCTAGTGCCATGACCCAAGTTCAATACCTTTCACTTAGCCTTTGTTGAGCCTCATTAAGTCACAAGGGCCCACCCTTCAAGATTGTTTAGGTTCCATTAGGTAGCATGCCTTCCTTCTGTAGTGTGAGCTACACCACTCAGCTCAGTGGTCATCAGTAGGTCATCAGTAAACTTGCTGTGAGTGCACTTGTTCCTACTGTCTCTGTAATTGATAACAGTATTGAAGAGAGATGGTCCCAAGATGGATCCCTGGGGTCACTACTCATCACTGGCCTCCCTCTGGGCATAGGTAACTAAACAATTTACAGAATCACAGAACTGAAGGAGCTTGAAGGGACCTCTAGAGATCATTGAGTCCAAAGCAGGACTCGATCATCCCCTTACTAAAGCAGGCACCATAAACCAGGTTGCACAAGTTGGTGTCCACATGGGTCTTAATACCTCCAGACAAGGAGACTCCAAAACCCACTGGGCAGCCTGTTCCAGTGCTCTGTCACTCAAACTGTGGAGAAGTTCTCATGCACACTTGTGGAACTTCCTATGCTTCAGTTTGTGGCCATTTCCCTTTGTCCTGTAACCACACATTACTGAAAAGAATCTGGCCTTGTCCCTTTGCCTCCCACATCTTACATATTTATAGACACTGATCAAATACCCTCTCAGTATTCTTTTGGAGGGTTGTGATCAATGGTTCTTTGTCAGGATAGAGGCCAGTCACAAGTGGTGTCCCCCAGGGGTTGGTCTTAGGACCAGTGTTCTTCAACATCTTTATCGACACAGATGATGGCATCGAGTGCACGCTCAGCAAGTTCGCAGATGACACCACGCTGAGCCGTGTAGTCAAGACACTGGAGGGAAGGGAAGCCTGTCTAAAGGACGGGTTGGAGAAGTGGGCCCATGTGAACCTAATGAGGTTCATCAAGGCCAAGTGCAGGGTGCTGCACTTGGGCTGAGGCAATCCCAGGTATTTGTACAAACTGGGTGAAGAGCCCCTTGAGAGCAGCCCTGTGGAGAAGGACTTGAGGGTCCTGGTGGATGAGATGTTGGACATGAGACAGCAGTGTGCGCTTGCAGCCCGGAAGGCCAACTGTGTTCTGGGCTGCATTGAAAGAGGAGTGGCCAGCAGGGAGAGGGAGGTGATTGTTGCCCTCTACTCAGCTCTTGTGAGGCCCCATCTGCAGTACTGCATCCAGGGCCCCCAATACAGAAGGACGTGGAGCTCTTGGAACAAGTCCAGAGGAGGGCCTCTAAGATGATCAGAGGGCTGGAGCAGCTCTTCCGCGGGGAAAGGTTGAGGGAACTGATCTTGTTTAGCTTGGAGAAGAGAAGGCTCCAGGGAGAACTCATGGTGGCCTTCCAGTACTTCAAGGGAGTGTATAAAGAGGAGGGAGAATGGCTGTTCAAATGGGTTGACAGTGATAGGACCAGGGGAAATAGTTTTAAACTGAGCCAGGGGGGTTTAGGTTAGATACTAGGAGGAAGTTTTTCACACAGGGGGTGGTGAGGCACTGGAACAGGTTGCCCAAGGAGGCTGTGGATGCCCCATCCCTGGAGGCATTCAAGGCCAGGCTGGATGTGGCTCTGATCTGGTGGTTGGCGACCCTGCCCATAGCAGGGGTTTGAAACTTGATGATCTTTGTGGTCCTTTTCAACCCAGGCCATGACTCTTTTCTCAAGGCTGGACAGACCCAGATCTTATAGCCTTTCCCCAGGCCCTTTATCATCTTTGAGGCCTTCTGCTGGATTTTTTCCAGAAGATCCTTGCATTTTTTTTTTGTACTGGAGAGTCCAGAACTGGTCACAATACTCCAGGTGAGGCCTGAGCAGGGCAGAGTAGAGGGGGAGGATCACTTTCCTTGTCCTACTATGGTCAATGCAGTTATTCCTCCCCAGGTGCAAGACTCTATACTGGCAACTCTACACACTATGCATTCCTTATTCACTTAATAGTTCAGCTTTCAAATTCATATCTCTCCAGCTTAGAAATAGAGATGTGGTGTGGGACCATGTCAAAGGCCTTGCACAAATCCAGGTAGATGGCATCAGTCCCACCCTTTGTCTGCTGATACTGTCACTGTTGTAGAAAGCAACCAGATTGGTCAGGCATGATCTGTTCATTGGTGAAGCTACTAGGCTGTCTCAGATAACCTCTTTCTCATATGTGCCTTAACTTGTCTTCCACTAGGGTCTGTTCCATCATCTTCCTGGGTACATTTGTGAGGGTTGCCAGCCTGTAGTTTCCCAGATTTTCCTTTCAACCCTCCTTAACAATGGAAATGATGTTTCCCTTTTTCCAGTCACACCATGACTTTTCAAATATGATGGAGAGAGCTCTTCAGGAGTAAAACCTTTTTCTTTTACAGGAGACAACTACTTCTGAAACAATTTTCTTAAATCTAAAACAAGTTCCTCTCATTCAGATTGTGTAAAATATCTGTCTTCCTCCTTATCATGAGCTCCTTGAAGTATTCAAGGCTGCAGGAGGTTATCCCAGAGCCTTCTCTTCTCCAGCCTGAATAACCCCAGGTCCCTCAGCCTTTCTTCAGACAATTGGTGGCCGTAAATAAACATTTTGAAAAGAGTTGCAATCTATCCCATTACCTCTTCTCATTTCCATGCTGAAATGTTTCTTCTAGTAACTTTTTACCTCTATTTAACAATAATTTTATGTTAGTTTCTTTTACCGTCAGATTATCCAGTATGATCTTGAAAGCATCTTTTGCTCAGAAAAGTAGTCACTTGGGATGACACACTGAACTCTTTATTTCTGTCTATCTTCTCCCATCTAAATTAATTTCCTTGCTATTTTAATTCAGTTTTGAAACTTTATTTCCTTTTTATTTTCTATTCTGCCTGGTTGAAGGATTTATTTCCTGTAATCACTACTGCTAAGGCTGTATTCGAGAACTAAGTAAAGGATATAAACTCAAAATCTTTTCTTTCATACTTTTGTATTCTTACATTCGTTTGTTTTAACACAGCCACAGACTGTCCCTTCTGAAGTGTCTGTTAAAGACTTCACAGATTATGTGTATTGCCAATAAAAGAGAATTTCTCAAGATATGTGTTTTGGGACATCGCTTCCATTCTGTGGGTATCTGCAGTAGGAATTAGTGTAAAAATGCATGGCATGTTGGGATTTGGTCGTTTCTGTTCCCTACCCCTCCTGCAGCCACGAGGTGGCAGCAGCATCTCAAAGTTCAGCATAGATATGCCATTAGGCATGGTCATTAGACTAAGGGGTGCAAAAATGAGGAAAAGGTATTGGGAAAGAAGAATGGTCCAGAAGAAAACCTGTCCCTATGGAAAGGGGAGAAAAAGGAGATATTGACTCATGTGGTGTCTTGTTTTCATGCATTTTGAAAAAAAATAAAACTAACAAAAGCAGAATTCCACCTTTTAAGACAGTGAAACCCCATCAAAATACACATTTTTTTCTTAAATGTTTTGCTCCACAATTTTATTTCCTTTCTGGAAAGTACAGAAGGGCAGAAATGGATCACTTGTTTGTTCCTCTGTCTAGGATGTTGGTGCGTATCTCAGCATGGTTATATGCATATCATGTCTTGCTTTTACTCCCTAGAGGTTCTTTTCCTTGTTACAGAAGTCCTAAGTGGAAATACTTAGGATTAATGCCAGAGTCTTGCATTGGGTGCCAAAACTAGAACAGCTGTTTCAATCAAGAGAATTTAATTAAGTTTTCTACTGTGCAAAATGCTAGTCTAAGTCCATGTAGCTGCTTAGTCTAATTTATGAAGACATGTAGGATTTGGGATGGTGTGCTTGCTTCCCTATGGAGATGATTTTTATTCTTTGTGCAGAAAAGTTACATGACAATACTTTATACAGCCCAGCTTGCTGTTGCTCTTGAATCTGATAAATGATATCAGTAGCATTCCCAATTTCAATTGGACAATGTGTTGATTAAAAGTCAAAAGAGCTGTAAATATTCTCTGATTTAGCAAAACGTAATTTTATTTTTTACGTATCTTAGACATTATGGCATATTTTTTTTCCTTATTTCAATTAGACTTTTAGATGTTCAACAGTAGTATCTGTGGTGTTCATATTTCAGAGATTCTTGTGTCAACTTGGTTCTGAAATGTGTTTACTTCTTAAGTTTTACAAATTACAATTTTTGTTTTTATTTATTTATTTATATTTCAGGAAAACTGCTAGAAACTTCAATCAACCAATGTGCAAAGCTGCCAAGACAACTGTGGTGGAGGTAAGGAGATGAAACACAGTAGGCTCTATGTCCCTGTAGTCAACAAATCCCTTTGGCTTGCATGCCATTCTGGGGACAGAGTTCTTTTTTTTAAATTAGTTGGTGAATTTCTTATATGGAACTGTGGTCTAGTCTGTTCTCTTGGACTAGCTCCTACTGACCTTGTGCTCAGTTTTAGTGATCAGTTTATCACTTTTCATCTGATTATGGCTTGGACTTTGTTTGCTGTATTGAGCCTTTGAAAAGTTTTATATTTATTAACTAAAAAAATATGTGGATTAAAGAAAAAACAGAAGACTTAGCCTGTGCTTGAGGCCTCTTGTTATTTATTTCCTTGAGAGAATTCACAAAGATTATTTATATAAGACCTGATAATAAACACATAACAACATATATTGAGCATATCGTGGCTTTATCATAGACGAGGTCTCTAAAAATAAATAATGTCAGTCACGTAGATGCAGGCATTTGGTTATGCCTTGTGAAAGAAGTTGGGCTAGGTTACCTATAATTTTCTTCCAGTCTTTCAGTCTTTTATCTTTTGTCTAAAACTATATGGAGCAGCCTACATTGGAGGTGACATGAAAGTTGTTGGAACTTAGTAATATTGGTGACTGCTTTGTTAGCTTTTTCTCATCCCACAGGAAGGAGAAGAGTGAGCAAACAACTGTGTGGTGCTTAGTCACCTCCTGGGTTATACCACTGGTATAACTCCCTGGTAAATTCTTTATACATTTAATAAAAGCCTAATATGATTGACAGTAAAATGAAAAGAAACTTCTGTAGTGCACTTTCAGTAAATTCTAAGAAGAGTGTTAAATTGGAAGTGTCCCTTCTTAGTTTATGTTCTTGTTTGTTTGTTTTTGTAAACCTCCAGAATAAGATATTTGGTACAGAAACATCCCCAGATAACACATTTAGGGAGTTATTTCTTTATGTAGTATAATAGCAAAATATACCATACTATAGCATAATATACCATAGAATTTGTTAAGTGACTACTGACTTGTGAAAACTTCATGAATTTTTACAGCTGTTTTTTTCAGAGAAGCTTAAAAGTGTTTTTCCTTTTGGAAGTGAAATAAAAAATCTTTTTTATTCCCTTCATTCTAGCTGCTCGCTTTTCATACTTAAGTCTGGTGCTTAGAGAATCTGAGTAGATCAAAGTCTTCCACCTGCATGCCATTTCATTCTCCCTCTCTACTCTTCTACCCACATGTAATAGTGTAGAATAGAATTTTCTTGACAGGGAGCAACAACTATGTGACATTTTTTCTTGGCATAGTTCCATGTAATGTTTGAAAGATCTGCCTTCAAGTTTGTCCGTCTTTGATCTTGGTGCGGCTATATACTGCTATAACTGACATGGTTTGGCAAGATAATTAATATTACTTTACAACTCTGTACAACTAATTAATGGGCAAAGAGGCATAAGCAGAGATTTAAGAGAAACTGCTAGCTAAATACAATACCTCGAGTTGACTTTTAAGTATCTTTCTTCTGAAATGGAGTTCAAAATGCTGTGTGCAGGATTTTAGAGTTCAAATTCATAGTGTTGAATAGAGATGTCTCAGTACTGTATCTGGAGTACTGAGGGTTATCAGTCTGCGGCTGTCTAGGGCTAATCTCAAGATAGCTGAGGTGACTGCATAGAAGTTCATTGGGCTTCTTATCTGCATTGTTTGAGGCTGGAGGGTGAAATTCTCAATCTCACAGAGAGATAGGAAAAAAAAAATTGAGTAGGCCAGTAATTCAGATTTTCCCTTTACAGCTGGGGTTCCTGATATCTGTTCCCAGCTTTTTTTTTTCTTCTTTTTTTTTTTCCCCATCCACAGACCATTTAACTTAATGTAAACAGGCAGGAGTGGAGATTTGAAGCCATCCCTGGCACTGTGAGCTACAGGTCAGACCTGTCTCCAGAATAATGCAGTAATAGCATGGGATATGCAGGACTGCAGTTTCTCAATCTGACGTTCCCTTTCTGAGTTTGAACTCGGAGCTTTGTTCTTGTACAACCAGACTCATGATGGCAACATCTGCTTGTCTAGTACAAAGCACCAAGCTGAGGCTACCTACGTAACTAGGTAGCAGAAATAAAAAGCACATCCTTCTGTGTTTCTGGTTTTGAGATTTTTCTGTTTAAAGTGAATGCTGTAGATACACAAAAACATGATTTGTTAATTCTGGTAGCTACTCTGCTGGGTTACTTGTTTCCCTTCTCTGCTTGTTTGTGTACTTCCAGTTTTATTCAGTCTTTTGGAAGCAGTCTCTTTTTCAGTAGTAGAGCTTTGTCAAGCGTTAAATTGGAAGGATGGATACTAGGCTATTCACCATCCCTGAATGTGTTGAAAAAACATTTGGATGTGGTGCTCAGGGACATGATTTAGTGGATTGTTGCTAGAGGTAGGGGGTAGTATGGTTTGGCTGCATTTGAATTTGATAATCTTTAAGGTCTTTTCCAACCTGAGCAATTCTATGATTCTATACGAGTATGTCTTTGTTCGGTTCTCTTAAGTACAGTGGAACAGTATAACTTGAATTTTGGGAGTTAATTTTGATCAAAAAATGTATCCTGCTGTGACATGAACAAAGTAAAAGATGGAAAACCTATCATTCTCTTTGGGCTTGTTCCAGTGGTTAATCACTCTCACTGGTATAAATGTCTTTTTACTGTAATTAATTTAGATTCCATCCAGTGCTTTTGCTCTCTTCTGCTAGATTAAAAACCTTTCTGGAGCTGGCATTTGCTTACCATGGGATAACTTCTCAGTTCTGCTGATGTGATAAACAGATCGAAGTCTTAATGATTCTAATTGTAAAATATTTTCAGCCCTACCCCTTTTATATCCTCCTCTCTCTGTTGTTTTCTGAAACTTCACAAATGTGACCAACAGAAATGTCTTCAGTACTGATAATAGTGCTGTCAGCTACTAAGGTAGAGTTATTTTTCTGCCCAGTTCTGCTGCATTCCTGCTTGTGCACCCCCAGACTCTGCTGATCATTTCATGCGGGTTGCCTAGGCAGTTAGCTGTTTACATCTTGTTAATAATTTTCTGACATACTTTAAGAAAGGTATAATTAATGATTTCCAGCATGAATTCTTTAATTATGACAGGTATTTATTGTTAACAGATGTTGTATTTTGCTTTAGAATTCTCTTGTGTTCTACGATAATGCTGTTTCTGTCTTAGGTTTTATTAGTCCACCAGTCTTTTCCCAGATCTGTTTCAGTGGAATGACACTAGACTTAGTGAGATCTGTATTTCCAAGGGGATATAAGTACTGGAGATCCAGTCTTAAAGTGCAGGAGGAATTGATTGCATTGGTTAACCTGTTGTAAGATATCTTGTGGAGCTCTGAGATCTTTTGACATGCATGCACAGTAGAAAATATGTTTTTCTTTAATGTATTAAATATGCTTGAGTTCAGGTCAATATGGCATTTTACTCTGTTCAAGAATGGGAAATACTATTTTTTGTGAGAATTTGGAAGGTAACTTGGCAGTGCTTCCTGATGTGGAGGATAAGAGCAGAGCAGTGGTTCACAGACTGGTAGCTGTTGCTTACTTAAAAATACTGTTTGTCTTAAACAAAGCTGTCTGTGTTTAGAGAGGGCAGTGAAAGAGGCTGAAGAAATAAGGCTGTGCTGTTATCGGTTAACGTCTTGTTGCTCACAGATGAGGGTTATGGATTTTAAAATTTGCCTTGAACAAATTTCTGGTTGAGATATCCGAGCTTCAGCTTTGTTTGTCCTGACAGACCCCCAGGCAGGGGGTCCTGGTGGATGAGAAGCTGGACATGAGCCAGCAGTGTGTGCCTGCAGCCTGGAAGGCCAACTGTGTTTCTGGGCTGCATTAAAAAAGGGGTGGTCAGCAGGAAGAGGGAAGTGATTGTCCCGCTCTACTCAGCTCTTAACGAGTGGTTGGAATCCCTGCCCGTGGCAGGGGGGTTGAAACTAGGTGATGTTTGAAGTCCTTTTCAGCCTAGGCCGTTCTATGATTCTATGCCATAATGATAGTGCTGAAGAGTTTGAGGGATGATTTTAGGCGTCGGTTTTTACTCTCTGTCCTGGACAAGTATACAGCCCCACACATCCTTACGCTGCATCTGTTCCCTGCCATTGTTCTCTGTTGTGAGACCTCCTGAATGCAACTCTGGCATAGCAGTTTGAGATCTCAGCCATGGCCATGATGTGTCTGTGAGTGGCAACATTCAATATATTTCGACATACTTATTCACTGTTTGAATATCCTGTTCGAATTATTTTCTTTATCAAATTGCAAAAGGATGGTTAAATATATCTGTCTGTGTAAACAGCATTTCCACCTCAAATAACATCACAAGAGGAAAAAAGAGAATGTACTTTCTCATGAAAATACATTAAATAAAAATCATTAAACCCTGTATTTTATCTCTGGTTGCCTGGTAACAACACTGCCACGTCAGTGAGCATCATTATCTCAGGTACAATGGTCTGTGCACTGAGGGACAGAAGCAGGCTGAAATAAGCCATTTGTAACCTGTTATCTGTACTAAATAACAGCATTGCATTTTATTGAGGAAACTGAAAAATTAACTTTTTTTTTTGTTGTCTGCTTCTCCAAATGCTTTAACACCAGCAAAACTCTCCTTGTTCTGCACAGCCTTCTTCTGAGGAGTTCTGCAAGGCTTTTACATAGTGTTAATTTATAGTTAAATGCCTTTACGTACTATTTTAAGGTGGAAAAGTAATCTCTTTCCTCGCCCTGGCGCTCCAGCGATGGAACTCAAGCCAAACCCTTTTACAGGAAGCCACTCTCAGTTTGGGATAGGCTCTGGCTTTGCACTAGGATTTTATGGGAGACTTCAAATCAGGATTTGAGATCCAGAAGGATGTGGAACAAAGGCATACACCCTCCTCTTGGACACTTACTGATCTGTATTGATATAGCCTTTTTCATTAGTTGTCTAGGTACTCAGGGATGACTGACTGTGCTTAGGGGTTGGTTGGTGAAAGCCCTG